ATTTATGCATGAGCAATATCTTAGCAAATAGAAAAGATGAAACCTTCTTATTTTATATTCTAGCTTGTCAATATCCGTAATTTGAGTTTCTAATTCATACAAAACTAAAGACTTAGTATTTTGACTTCACGAACATCTAATTTGAACCAGTGCTGCATTCAACATACCAAATGACAAACAAAAATCAATTTTATATGTTTTTTTAATATTTACTTTTAAACTAAGAATATGAGTAATGTACTGTACTAAAATTTGAATTATAATCTGTAGTTCAATAAAATTTTGAATGGGAGTCAACAAACGAGATGACATAGCCTTTCACCCCTGACCCGTCTCAAAAGGGTTAACAGTTTACATCTGTTTTCATTTAAGTTCATTGTTTTATTATTCTTTGAACACGTGTCTAACTACTAAATTTGCATAACAAAGCTACAAATCACCTGAGAAGCACATAGCTCAAGTTATGGTGAACAAAGTATTGAATTACATAAAGCATGAGGCATTTGTATACATACCTCACTGAGAAATATTTTATTTAATTTTTCATTTTATGTTTTCTTATCTAATCTGATAAGTTTCTCATTTTTACATCATAGTTACTTTTATAACAATAAATAAAAAACGTACGTACAAAATAAGAAAGTTAACTCTTATGACTGGCCTCGTTTTTTTAGCCCTTGGCTTCTAATGAAACTTAACCCTATTTTTTTGTAACAATGGTAATAGTACTTAACATAATTTGTATTTATTTCTTACATGCAATTAACAACACAAAATAACAGCATGCAATAAAAAATACAGTTGCCTGCACACTTTGATTCCATTACCAGACAGGTAATCCTACTTTAAAACCACAAATATGATCAGAAAAGAAATTAAACTGCAAAAAAGAACAATAATAGTATGCATTTTGTACTAAAACAGACAATATAAAAGATCCTAAAACATTCTAGAAACACTTAAAAAATGTCATACCAAATAAAAATGCAAGTAGTATATCATTTTTAAAAATACGCAATTTAACTGCCGACACTGTTGAACAAAAATTTGATGTCTTTAAAGAAAAACTGCAACAAATATTTCAAGTTCTTTGGGTCTATACTCTGATTCGTCATGGTCTAATAACATTAATAACCACATAAAAAGCAACAAACTCACATATTTCCACTAGATCTAGGACTTTTCACCTATCAAAATTCCAGAATTATTAACTACAATAAAATCTGTCAAAAATAAATCTCCTGGAGATAACAAATGATTCAATATATTTTTCAAATAACCCCCACCCCAAAAAAAACAAACTCTTAGAACATGTTAATGTTCACTTCAACTTATCTTACTGTTCAGGTTACATTCCTACCTCCTGGAAAATAGACAAAATATGGATGGCAAGCCAATGGCTGACCCAATGAGCTATTGTCTCATTAGTTTGATAAGCTCTCTTGGCAAACTTCTTAAAAAATAATCAATAAATGATTATTAAGATACCTTGGAGATAAAAACCTCCTATCTGAGCTACAAAATGGATCTAGAAAAATAATAGACAGACAGTTTTTCATCTAGTCTGACTCACTGAAACAATAGTTAAAGGATTCAATATTAATCAAATAACACTGGAATGTTCTTCTGATGTAGTCAAAGTTTTTGATAGCATGTGGTACAATGGGCTATAGTACAAATTAATGAATTACCAACTTTCTGATGGGATCATACACTAGCTTTCCAGGCTCCTGGATAATAAGAGTAATCATGTTAGTGTTGGGGGGGGGGGGTGCCAAGCCCAATCTGTATGCCATTAATGCTGGAATTCCTCAGGGTGGTATTATCTGTCCACTATTATTTAACATCTTTGTTAATAACTTGAATCTTAAGGGAAACATGAGAGTTTGTGCTTCTCAACTTGCAGACAATGTGGCACTCTGAAGTACCAGCTTTAGCTCCAAAATAGCAGAAGAAAACATTCAAGTAGCTACAAACAAACTAGAAAAATGGTGTAATAAATGGCATATCAAACTAAATCCTGCAAAAACAAAAATAATCAAATTCTTTAAACTCATCAAAAAAAGAAATCAGGTAATCAATCTCAAATTATATAGTTATAAACTTCAGAATGTTGATTGTGTCTGCTTCTTGGATCTTATCTTTGAAACGGAGTTGA